TACTTTATTCACTGGATATGGCACTAGGTGACTTTTGGTTCTTCCTAAAAGTCGAAATGACCATGAATGGTAAAAGTATTGAATGGATTCAGGACGTGGAAGTAGCCACAACAGCACAACTAAAAACACTCACAAAACAAGACTCCCAGAACTGTTTCACAAAGTGGCAAGAATGGTGGGATGTGTGTTCAAAGTGAGGGGGAATATTTTGAGGGAGATGAACTGCAATGTATCTTTTACTCTAACATATCTTTTAAAAAATGAAATGTTCACCACTTTTTTTTGGTTGTACCTAGCATGTACTAAGAGAAAACTTGCTGAATGATGACCATTTAACCAAATATTGGACAGCAATGGGCAAGGGGGAGGAAGAGGTGGAGGGGACAGGAAGGCAGAGAAGATCATGAGTGCAAACAAGCGCTCTGTCTAGGGTCAGTGGCATTCTATCCAGCCACTGAAAGGAGCAGAGTGGAGGTGATAATTCTTTCACATTCTGCCACACAGATGATTTTTTTTTTAAAAGCCCACCTGCTTTTTTTAGTTAAGACTACCTTTGCTTAGGACCATCGGGTCTCTCGCTTGGTGTCTGGATTACTGTGACTTGGGAATTTCCTAAACCACTAACCTTGCTTTGGGAGCCCAGTGGGCCATTTCCCCAAGAAGCTGTGACTTGCTGTCTGTACAGTAACTTCCTAGTCTTGGCATCTTCAGGATCACTGGGAGGGCAGGAGATAACATCAGCCTGCTGCTTTCTGCTATGTCAGTCACTAGGAAGGTCTATTCCTAACTGAGACTAAATGGTTTGCTCCTGGGATTTCTAGGGCAGCATCTCATCATTGTTTATCTAAACCCAGCTCAGTTTTAGTGGCTGATCATCCTTGGGCGAGTTTTGGAAGCTGTGAAGTTTCTGAAGAAGCCTTCAGTGACATTCAGCAGGGTTTTCCCTGGGTCTCTGCTGCTTTTCTTTGATGCCTTTTTTTACTGTAACCTAAGTTACTTGGGAACATGCTTTCAGAAGAAAGGAGTGTAAGGCATTTCAAGAGCTTTGGAACACACTCTGAAGCCCAGAGCTCTCCTCCTCATTGCCCATTCCTCTGCAGAAGGTTGAAAATTTAAACCCTTGGAAAATCTTCAATAAACTACTCAGATGACTGATTCCAAGTGGCTATTATGGGCTTTTATCAGAGATATATGACTGATAATTAGAATTGATAGCCCTAATAATGAAAAGTTTCCAAGCCTATTTTTTCATTTTCCTTTTTTAGCCAAATAGCACAAAATAAATGTGTTAAGATTTCATTGCAACAAGATCTCATTTTCCAAAGCCAAGCAGTGTATGGAAGGACTTCTAGTGAAGGATTAGAGCAGCCAAGGAGATGATCACAGGCCTGCCTCTTTCTCTTTGACTTCGAGATACATTGGACAGGCAGAAAGTGTCCCAAAGACATTGCTCCAGCTCTGCCATTTAGTCCTGTCACTTCAGGTAGCTCTTTATGAGTACCCATGTTCGCAGAAAGTGGAAAGAGAATTGGATAGAAAAGGAGAACTGAAGAAACAAAACCCACTGCTCACTAGTACTTGAAATAAGCAAGCACTTTCCCTGTAATGTCCCATACTGATCTGAACCTCACACGATACATGTCATTGTTTCTATTTTACAGATAGAACACAATGCGATGAGTGTTGGAAAAGTCACACCTTGCCTAATGTCTCACAACTGGAGGATGGCTCAAACCCACATCCAAATGACTCCAAATCCCTCTTCTGCTTTCATCCGCTTTTGCTCCCTCTCTCCTTTCTCTCCCTTATCTTTTTTTATAGCTATACTGAGGTATAATTTATATACTGTAAAGATGACAATTCATCTTTAAGTATATAATTCAACGATTTTTAGTGAATTTATTTCATTGTGCAGATATCACCTTGATCTAACTTTCTTTTTAAATGTTTTTTAATTTTTGAGACAGGGTCTCACCATGTAGATCAGGCTGACCCTGAATTCATTATGTAGCTGAGGGTTGCCTTATACTCACAGCAATCCTGGTGCCTTAGCTTCTCAAATGCTGGAATCACAGGCATGAGCCACCATGTCCTGCTTGATCTACCTTTGGGCCATTTCCTCACCCTGGGTTCCTTCATGTCAGGGGAAGTCAACTTGTATTCTTGTCCCAGGCAATCACTGTCTTGTTTTCTGTCACTAGAGATTTGTCTTTTGTGGACCATTTTTATAAATAGAATCACACCATTTATAGTCTTTGGCATCTGGTTTCTTGGGCTCAGCATGATGTATTTAAAGTTCATCATAATGGAGCGTGTATCAATAAAAGTATGTTCCTTTGCTTAGTAGTGTCCCATTGTGTAGATATACCGTATATTGATCTTTTAATTCACCCTTTAATGGATATTTGGGTTGTGTCTAGATTGGGGCTACTAGGATTAATGCACTTATGAATATTCATATACAAGTCTTTGTGAGAACATATATTTACATTTTTCTTGGATATATATCTAGAAGTGAAATTGCTGGGTCACATGGTAACTATTTTCATCTTTCTGGAGAATTGTGAGGTACTGTTTTCCAAAGTGGATGCACAGTTTTATATCCCTACTGATAATGTATAAGGGTTCCAGTTTCTCCACATCCTTTGCAACATTTGTCATTGTCAGTCTTTTTGATGGGAGTTATTTTAGTAGGTATGAAGCAGTATCTCATAGTGGTTTCTACCATCCTATCCGAATGATTAAAGATGTTGAACATTTTTTCATGTGCTTATTGACCATTCATATATCCTTTTTGGAAAAAATATCTGTTCCTAATTTTTATAATTTCTCTCTGTATGGCTGTTTCTCTCTGTCTACCTCCAGCCTAGTTAAAAGTTTGTCAATTTTATTGATTTTTTCAAAAAGCTAACTTTAAGTCTCCTTGATTTTTTCTATTGCATTTTTGAATCATATTTCACTGATCTACTGTCTGAACTTTATTGCTTTACTATTGCTTGCTTTGAGTTTACTTTGCTCTTCATTTTATAGTTTCTTGGAAAGGAAGCTTAGTTACTGATTCTTCTCTATGCTTCATTTCGAATCTTATCAGCTCCTTCAGAAAGGGAAATAACTAGTGTTTATGGCTATAGAATTTTCTCTTCTTCAGAATTCAGGCTGGAGTTGGAAGCTGCCCAGGCAAGAATGCTACCAGCTACCTCTAGTGTTGCCCAACATTGAGCAGTTACTTATGAATGACAGCTCCTCAAATTGGCTGAATATCAAAAATATTAAATGGTTGCTTCTAACAATTTGCAGAGGAAACTTGTCATGCTGCTCATTTCTGCCATGCCAGAATCCTGTCTTTTAAGCTCTCCTTCTTTCCTTTGCAGAAAAATTACATTTTGTTTCATCCATTCCTCAGTCTAGTTCTCTCACAGAACTGATGACTTTTGGGGCCATGGACACAACTCTTTTAAAGAATAAGTTGAAAAATATTGCTCTGAGATTATCAACTTGTAACCACAGCAACAGAAATGCAAGAAGTAAATCCCCTCTTCACTTTCTCAGTGTCAATCAAGACAAAAGGAAACTGTGCCTCTTAGAGGTTGCATTTGTAATAGGAAATTCCGACACCACTTTTCACCACCCACTTTGTAAGGAAGGCAGAAAATCTGTCCCTGATCTTGCTGATGTGGCAGATGCCCCTTGTACTAACCAAGAGCGCGATCATAGCAGGAAGTTGCTCATTGGAAGTGTAGGGGCTGGGCTCTTGGACTAAGCAGAGGATTTTCAAGCTATCAGCTGATGTAAAGTGGACACAGACTGTATATCCCCATTTGTTTCTCGGAGGAAGCTGGCCTGATCTTCCTCTTTTCTCTCCAGTGATGTGACAGCTACAAGGAACAAGGTCAGGGACTCAGAAATCTGGGTCCTCGGCTCCAGTTCTGCCCCTTCCTTCCATTTAAACCCCAGTGTAGGGGGTGGTCTCTTTATTTGTGAGATGGGTTTAATAATATCAATATCACTGCTCCCAGTGTTGGTTCCTTTACTGCTCCTCTCCCAGGTAACAAAGGATGAAGGCAGATGCTGTGAAGATACCTTACTTGGCACTTGGGGAACAGTAACACCAGAATAGACACTTTCCAGCAGGAGCCACACTGGACCGGCTTATTCTGTGAATAAGGGGGACTTCAGCTTTCCTGGAGGCCAAAAAAGGAAGTCAGCACAGAGCAAGACTAGGGCAGAAATATCTCTGCCAAGTGATTTTCCAGGCTTTATCTGATGTTCATATTGAGTCTTCCTCCCCGTCTGGCATCTCTGTCAGACTGACCAGCACACCACAGCAAGGCCGCATAGTCACAAGTACAAACTTTTAAGAGCATTTAAAAGCAAGGAAAAATGCTCTGATTAAAAAAAAAAAATCTTTAAGGTTTGCTGTATGAGGGATTAGGATCCAGTTTAATATCTTCAAAATGTACTAGCCAAGGGCTTTAGTTTCTAAAAAGGAAAAATAAAGCTATTCAACTCAAAATATGTCTCAAGTATATATTGTTATTATAAAAGGAATTCTAGATTCTAGACTGCAGAAAGAAGACAGCAGTCTAAGATGTAACCTTGCCTAGATTTTTTTTTTTACAATGGAAATGAGTTTAGCTACAATGACTGCAGAAGGGATGAAAGAACAACAACCTAAAAATGCAGATTTGTCACCACAAGGCTCCATGAGAACAGAAATGGACACCTGGGTTTCCAAAATCTTCTGGGCACCATCACTGGCAGTAGCATCTTGGCATGGCAACGGAGCCCCCACACCAGCACTCCAGCGCCTCCAGCCTTACCTCCACCACTTCCATCCCACCTCCTACTCAGGTCATCTGCTTACGGCCTCCTTCCTTCCTGGTCACTCTTCACGTCGGCAAGCACCCTGCCCTCCTGCACGGCACCTTGGCCTGTCCTCACAGTGGGGCCAGGCACAGGTGGGAAGTGACCAAAGGCGAAGGGCAGACCTTCAGTGTTACCTATTTGCCTTTCCAGGTCGGCGGCCTCATCAGGTGTGGCTCTCGGGAGGACTCCGGGGTCACTGAAGCTGGTGCGAAGCAGGGTCCCCATCACAAAGAAGAACAGGATACCACCAACCACAGGGATGGCGGGGGTGATCTTCACCGCTAGGTATGGACAGCTACCAACAGGTTGGGGAGGCGAAGGAGGGGAAGAAAAAAGAAAATACAAGGTTAGGATCAACAGTGAATGGTCTGTGTCTTCCAAGAAGCCTAAAAGTTATTTGAGGGAGAGAAATTGATTTGCATTAAAAGCTCATCTGTGCTAAGAGTTTATATTTGCAGAGAATATTAACCCTCCATCCCAAATCATGATGGCTCACACCCTCTGCTCCCAGCAGAAGAATTGAAACATTCCTGTTTGCCAATCTAGGATGCACACAGCTTGTATAAATACACATGTGCCCTCTGCACTGTAAACACAGTTGTCAGTCTATGCCTCCCTCCCATACCTGGAGTTAATAATAGAAAAAGGCACCAACTCGGAACCCTCTTCATCAGACCCAGCCTTTCCTACCTGCATCAGACAACTCAGGCTTTCCCACCAGTGCAAAATGCTGAGGACTATGATTTCACTTGGAAAGGCAAGAAACCATTTTTTAATATTTTGGAGGTAGTCTGTCCCAAAGAGGTTAATGAGCTTTGGAACTGAATTTGCAAGCCAGTTTCTGAGGAGGATTAAAAGGATTTCAGTAACTTTACTCTACTAATCTCATGCTTTTCCAGAAGGCAACTGAGCTACCAACTGAGGAACAAGGCCCAAGTTTTTGTTGTTGTGGTGGTGGTTTTGTTTGGTTTTCTGTTTGTTTTTAAGAGGTGGTATCTCACAATTTTGGCCATGCGGCCTCAGACTTCCTGGGCTCAAATGGCCCTCTTGCCTCAGCCTCCTGGGATTATAGATAGGCATATGGTACCTCTCAAGTCTCAATTCTACAAGAACTCTTCATTGTGGGCAGTCTAACAAGCTGACATCAGAGATTGTGGTGAATCAGGGAGAAGTACCTTTGGACAGACTAAAGCCTATGCCAGGCCAGTCTGGGAGCTGGCATTTTATATTTGGCCAGCAGTGGGCAGATTAAGGCATCTTAAGGCCTTGGCTGATGGTCACAGTTCCTTGACTTCAGGGGGTGAGGGTCAGGTGGAATTGAGAGCTTAATGCCTAGAGCTAAGTGAAGGGTGGAGTTTGCCATGACTATGGTCAGTCTCTTGACACTCCATTAAGTGACATCATGGGTATGGAGAAGACACATCACAGAATGAAAGCATCTAGAGTGGAAAGTGCTCCTAATTCCTGTTCTTCCTCAGAAGCTGCTCTCGCAGCTACTCAAGACCACAAAGAGCACAGCCTAGAAAAGAAGAGCTGCAAACCTCTGCTCAGGACAGGGAGGTAATGGGCTGTGGTCCCAGGAGTTTTGAGGACCCCACTGCACATAGGATTCTGAAGAGATGGTAAGGGGACGCCAGCAAGAATTGGGGCCTTGACAAGTAACGCAAGGCCTAGAGCCCATTTGCTGAGACAGTGACGAGAATGTTGGAGTACTGGCCCTTGGAAGTCTGCAGACAGAATTCTAGCTATGGGAGGCTGCCACGAATGGAGGACCAAGGCCTGTCTGCATCCTGGACCCTATAGAACCCCAGAACTTCCTTAGGACTTTAAGACTTTCTCCCAAAGTGACCATGTGGGATTCCTCACCATTCCCATGAATGCCACCTCCAGGAGAACCACTCCAATAGAGTCAACAATCTATTGATATTTCCAAGGTCCCTGTAACCACTCCCATAACAACTCCCCTACAGAAATGGAGCAAAGCAAAACCATACAAAAAACAGCATGATGTCACATTTTCTTCACAGGATTCACAATCAGCTATGAAAAATTATAGTTGTCATTCTCATACCAATGAAACCTGGCCCAATCTTGCAACACTTGAGTCTTTTGAACATCCCTGAAGTCTCATAGTAAAGCAAACTTGGTAAGAAGTGCGAGAAGATACAAAGAGTTTGCTGGAGAA